CGGGGGGGGGGGGGGGGGGCACTGGGGGGCACTGCCCCACCGAGTGAGCGGGCATTGCCCCCCAGCCCCCCCCCCCAGCTACGGGCCTGGTTTGGAATAAGGTTTCCGTTTTTATAACGTAGAAAAAACTATCCTAACGCAAATCTAAACATTCAAGTTCCACAGGGATATTTCCTGAAGCACGTTTATTCAATGCAGAGTGTTTTTTCTTTGCCCTTACTCTTTCTTTATCATTTTACATTTCAGTCCGATTGCTCGACTAAATATATTAGGTAATATTTTGGTAATATTAGGTAGAATTGCTAGAATTTGTTATCAGATATGCGCAGTATAAACAGTGCGCAAATCACCTTAATTACCGGAGTTGTTTACCAGGTGCAGTGCTCTCACTTTTAAGGAATTATCCTTAAAAATAGGAATTTTGAAGAGTTTTAAGGATTTTTTTAAGGAATTTACGTTTTTGAGGATTTTTTTAAGGAATTTTCGAAATATTTTATCCTGGACTAAAAACGTTGGACGGAGGATAACCACGCCGCGCAAATGAGATTTAAACTTGAGAGTAGCAACATTATACGCACATAATTACATATATTCGCATGTTCTCTATGTCATAAATGTACATATGGCTGTCTTTTCCAGTGGCGGACATTAGGAGGGGGCTATGGGGGTGGGGGGGTGGGGGGGTGGGGGTGTGCTGAGCCCCCCCCCCCAATAATTTTGAAAGACTGCAAAAATCCTGTACCAAATAACACAAATCACACTCATATAACGTAATTGTCATCATAATATAATAGTATATGTTTCTGTACATGGCTTGGCATGTGATTTATAACAAAACGCACCATTAAAACAGTGTTTTGAAACCCTAGTTTTTTACAAACTGTGTTCTCAGAACGCTGCAAATGCCATTTCCGGGATTCAAATTTTAAAATTTTTCCGTGCCTTCGGCACGATCCCCACTGGTGTTTTCATTAAAATTCTCAAAAGTTAAATGTCAGTATATGCTGTTTCTTCTGAAATCTACAGATTAGCCCTTCATGCAGCACGGATCAAAAATACATCATGTTGAATGTTTTCTTTATGGCATTATGCCGAACAAGTGCATAAGCATTAGTGCTTAGAAACAAAGTTATAAAAACTGAAAAACAGAAGAAAGGAGGAAAAAAACACTTTTTGCAACTGTGTGATCAGGCCTTGTGGTAATTTTACCAACTTAAGGAATTTTAAGGAAATCTGAGGAATTTTCGAGCTTTTTCTAAGGAATTCGAAAATTTGATTGTGAGAGCACTGGAAATAACGGGCCGATCAACGATCAATGGTCGGCAGGAGTTTCTTTTGATCTGCAGAGAAGCAAGGTTGCTGATCATCTTGATCGGCAAGAATCATTGTCTCAAAAGCATGGTAAGTTAATGTTGTTATGAACACCATGCAATACTACAGCATTATCACAGAACATATAAACAGAACATATAAACAGAACCTATCCTGCGGCCAGATTTTCATTTGATCAGCAGAAAATCATGACTGCTGATCACCATGATCGGGAACGTTGGAAACATTATTTCGAGCCCTGTCATATAAAACCACAGTGGCCCAGGCTCTGTCTGGGTATTTATTTATTTTTTAATTTTATTATATTTTGCATTAAAAATTTACTTTAAATTTTAAAGTATAACTTACTTAGTTTCCTTTAAGTATTCTTTATGTATTTGGGAGTGGTTTTAGTTTGATATAATGAGATAAAAACATCATGAGAATAATGTTAGAATTATTGTTATTATTAAAATTTGGATTTTACAACCTTAAACGGTTGAAAACATCCATAAACATAACTGTATGCTTAACTATTACATGTAAAATACGAATAATTAATTATAAAAATATTAAAAATTCTCATATCTGTTAATTATGGATATGTAACCTACGACTAAAAACGGTTAAACTTTGATAAGAGTCTGAAGCCTAGGTACTAAGAATTATTAAAACGTTCGACAGACGACGGAATAAAAGAGTTTGGTTTGTTGAACAGGTGGGAAATTTGTCGTCGCTGACCAAAAAATCGCGGGCAGAAACAAAGCTCATGCATTAGCATTCAAAACAAAGCAGAAAGTTAGCAAGAAGCTGTTTTAGCTGACGATTTTTTGCTTTCCATTCAACGACTTACAAATTAACGGTTATTCTTTTAAAAGTCGACTATGAATTCTTTGTTTTGGGATGACTTGTTTCGTAATCGAGTGATTGCAAGAAGTTAATATGGCGACGTGAACATGGGAGTAAATACCGTATTCGTCGATCTGTGGCTTGTTTAAAACCGTAATAAACGAAGAAAAACGTGATATGAGAATGAAATGTAAGTTGAAACTAACTTTATATGCCTTATATTTTCCATCCTATGTTTCTTAATGTAACTTCAGTTGTCTAAGTTCAAAATAGAAGCTCGCGAAATTTGACAAATTTTGAAAATATGTAAAAATAGCTTGACTTTGAACTGTATTTTCTCAAAAATAGCCCGTGGCCTCAATTTCAAATATAGCTAAATGAAAAGAAAAAAGTTTTCGGCGTTTGTAGGTATCAAACATATCTTCAGGAAAATAGGGGCTCACAATGTTTTAGCTGAGTCTTTGAGACCCAGTTGCTTCGCACGTGTTGTGGTCAAATTTTTGCCAAGAATCAAAAGCCGAAATGTGAACTTCCTTCATGAAAACCGGCTCGAGAAGGGTCTAGTTTGAAAATTTAGGTATTAATTTCGATTTCGTGAGCATATTTTGGTTACACGTTAAATATTTTTTAATTTGATGAGATTCAAAATTTGTTGTATATTCAAGCCCGGCTTTAGTGTAGTTTTAGTGATGACCGGAACAGAAATGAAGATATTTTAAAAACTGGCCGTGGCCTCACGATAAAACTTTCTACAAATGTTCTCTGTTTCATGTACTTTTATTTGATATCTTAGGTATAAGCGTAAAAATAGGGGCTCATACAGCTTACGAGGTTGTAAAATGCATGACTTGCCTCTATTTTCATGTAAACATTCGAAATTTTTCGACAGCAAAGTAGCAACTGTTTCAGATCGAATGCACACGGACAGCCCACCAGAGACAATGGCAGGGTACTGAAATAGAACGTCACTAAAAAATTCTGTATGATTAATTTAGATCATGTCCATTTTCAACATAAAACAGTCATTTATTTTGTACAAACATTTGGCAATATTTACACGATTGTGCCTTTTTGTAAACACGCGTTGCGTGTATTCCACTCAAATGCGTGACTGATTTTGCTCGCGCATGCTCAGACAAATTTCCCACCTGTTATCTATTATAGTAATTCACGGTTTCCACGGGTTTTTATACTTTCAGTAAGCCACAATGAAGGTACATTTGTAGGAAAATATAAACATAATTCGTTTACTTCGAATAGTCAATCAGTGATAAAACTTTGACCTGTTGACCTTGTTATTACCGTCCCTTGCAACTACAGATGAACAGTCGCGAAAAGTTTGAAAAAGTTTTGTTATTTTGACATAATAGCTATTTTTCAATTAATATATTGATATTAAACTTATTGAATCAATATGTTAAGTTTCAGGCCAGTTGTATCAAAATTTATAAGCGCTTGCGGACCATAAAAGCGGATTTCCACTCAGTGCAAAATGTCGCGCGATCGACATTTTGCGATCACTTTTTTTTTAAATACAAGCAATAAAACGCAACAGATCAGGTTGACTGAACGCGTTTTAAAAGAAAGTGATCGCAAAAAGTTGATCTCGCGATATTTTGCACTGAATGGAAATCGGCCTGTCAGGGGCGGGCCTGAATGCAACTCTCTCCTCCGCAGAGGCTTTAGTCACAGAAAGATACCAGACCAGAAGAGACATTCCTATGTGTTTTGGCTTGGGAAAACGTTCAGAATTTTTCCGTGCTATGACGCCATCCTGGAGTGCACAAAGCACTTTGTACCTATGTTTGTCCTGTGAAAAACTTCCATGTGCACTCCAGGATGGCGTCATATGGTGGTGTATTTTCTCGTCAGCACTCGTAAAACTTCGGACAAAATATTGTCTGGGTGACACTCCTGGTCCAGTACCTATTCCGGGCTTTAATTGTCTTATGATTTATCATGATGGGATACATTTCACTACACTTTACATGGGGGATCTTGGAACAAGGGCCGATCCACTGAGCGAAAGAGCATGGGTGGAAAAGAGTGAAGGAAAGGAAAGGCAAAGGCCTCTGTGGAGGAGACAGGGCACGCAACATGTACGCACTGCGTACCTATTTTTTAAAGAGTAGCTGTCAGTGCCTTTTTAAGGAATTTAGCAGCGGGGGGGAAGAAAAAAATTCTTCAAGACAGCAAAAATGTCGGACGTCACGTTTTGAAAAATTTGTTTGAATTTGACATTGCTATTATCAACAAACCGTCGAAAAGCGGAAAATTATCGTAAAAACGTCGTGAAAAAATTTCCTTCGAAAATAACCTTTACTTTGACACGATGGCTTTGGTTAAATTTGCTCGCAGCCCACATCAGATTATAGGTCCACTAGCGGCTCGCAACTGATCAATCCAGATCACTCGCTACGCGTAGGAATTTGATACAAGTTTTCCAACATGGGAAGTAAACAATTAAACATGTTCTGCTTTTATTTTTCTCAGAATGGACAACCAATAGACATCCAATAAAGATCTTTCAATTTTATGTGACTAAAATTTAAAATCTAAAATAACTAAAATTTTTGGGTGATGCATTATCTGTCTGAAGGCCAATTTACACTATACAACTTTTGCCCAAAGCCTGGTTTCCATATGGTCGTAACGGTCGTAAAGATTGAGTCACGATCTTTCTCAACAGCCGAATGTATAATTTCAATGTGGTTTATAGGTAAAAACTATTACCCTTTTCAAATCGAGCGGAGGACTAGGTCTAGTCGCTTGTTTGGAGGGACAAAAAATAAACAATATGCCGAATATGGCATCTAGGAAGTTTTCCTACATTCCTAAAGTTATTTGTGCAGCCTGAAACGCAACAATTTTAAAAAGGAATCTTTTAATATATATTTAGCTCGCTCACTATAACTTGTTGTCCCTCGAAACGTCCCTCCAAACATCAAGTAGACCCAGTCCTCTGCTCGAGTGGGAAATGGCTAATTATAATCTGGCTGATGAGAAAGATCATAACTTTATCTTATATGATCGTTACAACCATATATGGAAACCTGGCTTAAAACTGTTGCATGCAGTATGCTTACAACTTGAGTTGTACTGTGTAATTGGCTGCATGATCAGATTAAGACATATCAAATGCCCTTAAAATACTCATTAATAATTCATAAACCTTTTGGCAAATCATGTCAGCCATAATATGTCACGTGGAATGACTTTATATCTGATAGAGCATGAGGCATTATATAATGGTTCATCCTCATTAGTATGATTATATAATGGTTCATCCTAATTAGCATTCTTTTGTATTCGTATTTTAAGCTATTCAAAACACTCGTTGTCGTGTTTTATCAGATATATAACGCTCGGCTGCGCCTCGCGTTATATATCTGATAAAACACTCCTACTCGTGTTTTAAATAGTACTTAAAGCGCTGATGCACTATGCAACTTGTCTTGCAACTTGTGTCGCAATTGCAAGGTTAACATACATTACAAAAAATTGCAACGTGTAACATACAAGTCTCGCAGCATTTTTGTTGCAGGAAACGTTGCGAAAAGTAGAACCTGATTCTACTTCGTGCAACACTTGCTGCAACAAAATTGCGAGACAAGTTGCAAGACAAGTTGCATAGTAGCCCGGGTACCCAAGCCGGCCTGGTTTGGGTAAAATCTTGCTTTTGTTATTATGTCCTACTAAATTTCATTTGAAGTTTATATGGGAACCGAGCTGGCTAGCCTAAGCGAGATCCCGCCTCGACTGACCCGAGATCTAGGGTGCCCAGGCTGGGGAATTTTCCATACAAACGCGATGACCCGGGCTGTCTCGGCCGCTCCTAGTGTCTAATAAAATAAAAGGGGCCAATTAACGATAGGCAACTTGCACTAAGAGGTCACGTAACCTTGAATATACAGAGTGATGTTTTAAGCAAAAATTCGTATTTTTTGTTTTAAAAACTTCAAAAAATATATCTTACACGTTTAGGGTAGGGCGCTTAGTAGAGGGGGAACGCTTTATAGAGGGTCATTTGATGGAGGTTATATTTCATTTTACGTAGTGCTAAATCGTCTTCTAACTTTATTTTGTCAAGATAAGGACGAGGCTATACGTCGTCTGGAAGCTCTCGAGAAAGGTAAAGCAGAAAATAATCGAATTCCGATTATGCTGATCGGGCAAGGCCGAGGCGGAAAGTCTTCGCTGATGAGACGTCTTTTAGGATTACCAATTCCTCCGCCATGCCCGTGGCATTATAACGACAAACGAACAACAGGATAAAAGAAAGGGAATAAATAAGAATTCACACAGCTGCATTTAGCATCCTACGGGGAGAAAGACGACGTCTCTATTGGTTCTTCTTTATATATGCTATGCTCAATATTTGCTGATATAATTATATATAAGTCCAGCATTATTAAATTTTACCGTTGTCGTGCTGAGGACACTCGACCATATTTTAAAATTATGGTTGATACCTTTTCCCGATGGTTCGATACATTTCTTGATTTTAAATTATGCGTGTCCGGCATTGATGTTTTTCGTAAAAATCCGATCAACATTCGAAAAATGTTTACGTTTTAGCTTCTTTATGAGTGATTTTCTTCTAGCAAAAGGAAAGCCTTTCCAGGGCGTGCAGGAGTAATTTTCGAAATCTATTTGTTGAATAAA